CCTCCGAAACACGCACGTTGCAGCCAAACATCGCCGCATCTCTGAAACAGCCAGCAAGAAACAACAAGATATGGAACAGGTACCTACCCCGTAACAAGATATAGCGACGTCTACCAAGAACGACGTGGATACCAATTCGCGAGAAGGACTTCAGAACGTTACGCCAACGGCAAATGCAACAGCACGCAAAATCCAACGGCAACAAGAACAGGCACGCACCCTCCACTAAAACTGCAGAGTCGTCCGAAAAAATCGAGGGAACGTTGAAAGAATGCGAGGTGGATGGGGGACCATCAGATGAGGAACTGAAGAGACGAAGGAAGCCCCAGGACAGAGCTAAAGACCGTATCGCGACCCTGCCGATGATCCCTGCAAACAGCCTATGCCTGAAGCAGAGCCAGCGCGAAGAACTGACTACATTCCCCCTCTTCTCTCCCTGCGATCGGAGATGATCTCTCGATCGGACGCAGCGAATGACCACCGGCTCGACGCCACCTCATCCTCACCCCGCCGCATGAACAGTCTCAAAAATATTTCTACGTGATGCAATCTCTGAGCATCTTGCAGCACTTACTTCAGTCTTATTCTGATAGGAAATCGAGACGGCGTTTTTTTGTTGTTTTTTTTCTTTGGTGTTTTTTTTTGAACAGAGTTCACTCTGCTTGCCACGCAGATGACGGTGCTGTCGCACCTCAGCTCACAGCACCCCTCAAACTCCTGGCGCTCAAGTGATCCTCCCCGCCTGCGCTCGGCTCCCCAAGTACCTGGCTACGCCATCGCACCACATGCTCGGCTTAATTTTCTTTGTAACTATACTCACTCCCTCCTTTACAGTCTGGTCAGACGCTTAATTTCTATCTCTTCTTTTTTTTTTAGTAACGACGGGGTCGTCGCTCCAGGCTTGTTTCGACCTTCCTGCCTTCGAGCAAATCCGCCCTCGGCCCCAGAGTCACGGATTACAGGCGTGAGCTGCACACGCCCCCGGTATTCTATCTTTTGTTCCTCGCTCTTCTTTGTTGGACAACATCACTTCTGCTTCACTATAACACTCTCAGAACCACTTTGAGTTTACTACAGTCTACCCCTTACAATAGTCTCTGAACACTCTGACACATTCTTCTAACCCGTCGCTATCCTCTTAGGGCTCTCAGCTCGTTCGCGTTCTTTTGTTTTTCTTTTGACCATCTTGCGATCTTGATCGCCTAAAGAATCTTTCGCTCTCGGTCTGTAAGCGGTTCGTCACTTGAAAAATCCATCTCTTCCTTCACGCTGAACCTTGTAAAATAATTACTAGTCATTAGTCTGGATTTCTAGTAAGTCTGACACTCTTGATTCCTATAAAGCCATGGGGAGCACTTTAAATGCAACAAACTTGAAAATAATTTATTTACTTTTAACTGGTCATTTCCTATAGTACCATCTATGACTCACATAACTACCTAGCTCTTCAGCATGCCAATTTATGAAATTCCGAGTTTTGTGATCAAACAACATACAGGGAACAAGGCTACTGAGCTATACTAGACTTTCACAACTCACATCTCAACAGCTACCAAAGAACATTCACGTGGGAGTGATATTATAACTACTTGAATTTGGGCTCTACGTACCATACACGTACTGAGTCCTACTGACCCACTGTAATCACTTCTGAGTTCTTCAGATCTACCGTTGCGCCTTACTGAAAAATAGGCGAGGACATCTTACTTTTGTCTTCACATAGTATCCCAGACAGCACAGTCGGAATAGGTCTGGTCATATAAATATCGTTGCAGGAATGCCTGCTGTGACTCTGTGATGTCTCAGCTCCTATCTCAGCGTACTCATAAGCGGTACACATTGCAGTTCTCTACGATAGTGATCCATCGTAGAATAAACTCAGGTCATGTTGAACTTTAAACTATCTATTGCTTTTTTGTTTAACTAACAAGCTACTCCTGCCTCTTTACTATTTGGGGAAAATCTAAAACCGCGCAGCTACAAAGACTCTCAAATGCCAGATTTTTTTTTTTTTTTTTTGAGCCGAGTTCCGCCTGTGTTGCTACAGCGCAGTGGCACACACAATTTACAGCAACCTCAAAACACAGACAGGTACTCCTGCACGCCCGCCGCCACCCGGCACACTAAAAACGGCAACAAAAAAAACACGCCCCGTCGTTACTTTTCTAATAAATATCAAAAACAAAAGTCGCAATTACCTTCTCTCTCATACTCGTAAGACGGTCTCCCTCTTCTCAACGCTGCTTTTGAACTCCTGACCTTGAGCAATCCGCCCGCCTCGGCCTCCCAAGAGCTAGGATTACAGGCGTGAGCCACAGCGCCCGGCCTTCAAAGATTTTTAAGAAAATTCATATTATATATTTCAAAAATTATGTGTTAATATTATCCACCAGAATAAGAAATTTTGTTTTTCCCCTTTGAGAAGATTTTGCCCATGACCCTCTAACCTGGGAATCAGATTCCTAGACTCTATTTCTACTTGTACTATTAAACTCAACCTTGAAACTGAGATTGGTTAAGTTTCTGTGCCTTAGTTTATCCACTTGTAAACAATTTCCTATAAAAATTGTTTAAACACCAACCAAAATTTACCATATGTATTCATTGTCTTACAGAAACAATCATTTCTTAATTTAAATTAAAAAACTTTCCAAACTAAAAAACTGTAGTTTGGAAAGTAACTGAAAATACACTTTTGAGAAACAAACATGTTTTCCTCACAAAATATATTGTAATCTGATTTTCCCATCTTGTTCTTTGTGGGGAAAATTGGAGATAATCTGTATTTTCTTGTCCCGTTCTATAACATGACATTTTCAGGAAAAAACCACTTTCAATGGCAATACTTCCTCAAATAATTCAAGATGAGTGCGAGGACCCATCTTATACATGAATCAGTCTACTACTTTAAAGAATCAATCTACTATACTCTGAATAGAAACCTCCTATAAAGTTGTCATTTGAGATTGATAATTAACCATAGATGTTTTATTCTCTCCCTTTAGTACCAAAGGCAAATAAATGCCATATAGTTCTTAGAAATCTTACCTCTACTGTTTTATTTCCTTTGGGGAGAACCACTTGAATCAGGCAAATACACTGAAGGTAAAGGTATATTCTTTTCCTAGCTTTTAATTTGTCTGACCATTTTAATCCTGCACATACTAGGGCAGCCCCTTTGGGCAAGGATTTACTCTGGGAAGCCCCAGCCATCTCCTTTAAGCACATTCTTTCCCAAACCCTTTGGAATACCTTTTTACAATTTTAAAGTATACTAATTGTGACAACAAACAGTATCTACAGATTGCTTTACCAGCATGAATCTTATTATCCTGGCTTAAAATCTGAGACTGTGAAGTTATTCTACAGGAAGCTAAATGTTACTTTGCACGGAGACCTAGCACTCATAGATTCTGTGATATATATAGTTATATATGATATAGTATTATATATTATATAAAATGTACTTGGAAGTGTCTTTAAAATTGCTGTAACAAGCAAAACTGTTTCGTTGCTATGTTTATTTTTCTGTGTTTACACATTAAATTCTTACAAAACTGTGAAAATAAATAAATAAATAAAATAAAATGTGGTATATTGTATACCATGGAGTACTATTCAGCTCTAAGAAACAACGGTGATATAGCACATCTTATATTTCCTGGTTAGCAGCTGGAACCCATACTACTAAGTGAAGTTATCCCAAGAATGGAAAACAAGCCACCACATATACTCACCAGCAAACTGGTATTAACTGAGCAGCACCTAAGTGGACACATAGGAACTACAGTAATAGGGTATTGGGCAGGTGGGAGGAGGTGGGGGCGGGTATATATATACATAATGAGTGAGATGTGCACCATCTGGGGGATGGTCATGCTGGAAACTCAGACTTGTGGAGTGAGGGGGGGAAAGGGCATTTATCGAAACCTTAAAATTTGTACCCCCATAATATACCGAAATAAAAAAAAAATACAACAAATTGGATAAACTCTAATAAATTAAAAAAAAAAAAATGAAGCTAAGAGGGACAGGCACAATGGCTCAAGCCTATATTCCTAGCATTCTGGGAGACTGAAGTAGGAGAATAATTTGAGGTGAGGAGTTCAAAACCAGCCTGAGCAAGAGCGAGACCCCGTCTTTACTAAAAATAGAAAAATATAGCCGGGGGTGGGGGCCCCTGCTCCTGTAGTCCCAGCTACTCGGGAGGCTGAGCAAAGGGGATCACTAGAGTAATCCTCACAGGAGGTTGAGGTTGCAGTGAGCTATGATGACTGCCACTGCACTCTAGCCCGGGCAACAGAGCGACACCAGGTCTCAAACAGGCCAAAAACATTCATCTTGCAGTAAACTTATGAAGTACGCACTTTTCTGTACGTACTTGTAAAGGTTTACTTTAAAACTGCAAAACATCAGCCAGGCAGGTGGCTCACGCCTATAATGATCCCTGCATTCTGGAAGGCCAAACCAGGAGGATTGCTTGAGCCTGGGAGTTCGAGGCTGCCATGGGCTATCATCTTGCCCCTGCACTCCAGCCTGGGTGACAGAGTAAGCTATAAAACATCAAGATGTGCTACATTCTAACTTTAAAAAACTATACAACATCAAAGGCATAGTCACTGTGTTGTACAATAGGTCTCCTGAATTTATACCATTTGTCTAACAGAAGTTTTGTACCCTTTGGCCAATATCCAGCCCCTGCCCTTGGTAACCACCACTCGGCTCTCTGCTTCTCAATTCAACTTTTTGATTCTACATGGAAATGAGATCATGCAATACTTATCTTTCTGTGCCTAGGTGATTTCACTTCAGGTAAAGTCCTGCAAGTTCATCCATGTCGTCACAAAAAAACAACATTATAGCACGCTTGAAAATTGCTAAGAAATAGATTTTAAATGTTTCCCCACAAAAAATAAGTGAGGTAATAGATATGTTAGCTTGATGGAGCCATTCCAAAATATGTGTGTGTGTGTGTGTATATGTATATAAACATGTTGTATACCGTACACATATACAATTTTTATTTGTCAATTAAAAAAATAAATTTAAAAAAGATGTTTAAGGCACTTTGCTGACTGGCAATCGATACAAGGCCCCAAATGCATCCCACCTTCACCCTCCATAGAGGTTCAAACTTTCCCTCGATCCAAAAGGCACCTCCAACATGCTTGAGCATCTGTTTTCTGTAGTTAAAGTATTTCATCCTCACAGATGTTCTCATCGAGAGTTTGGGGGCTTGAGACGGGCGGCTGTTGATCGGTCTTCTCCTTCAAGCTGTGTCGGATCCCATATCCAAAATATATAGCAAATCCTAGGGGGGAGAGGCCTTGAGTGGAGACCTGGTGGCCCTTCCGCTCAGAAATCCCACAGGGCTTGCTCCTGGGGTCTCTGAGACCGTTTCGGGGAAGGCGGCAGGAAGCGCGCTGGGCTCAGTCACCCGAGAGGCCTCATTGTTCCAGAAACGCACTCACCGATCACCATCCACACTGCAAACCGGGCCCACGTCTCGGCGGTCAGCTGCATCATCAGGTTGACGTTCATGCCGATGCTCAGCAGTGGGAGGACAGGCAACGCCGGGACCTGCGGGCACAGCCGGTGACTCCCGGGCACACACTGCAGTCCGGAAGAGACCCCGCCGCGCGGCACGGAACTCCAGCCCGCCCCGGCCGCGCACTCCAAGCCTGTCCACACTGAGTGTCCCGTGGGATGTCGCAGAAGACATCGGTATGGAGAGATGCAACTACCGTGTTTCCCCGAAAATGAGACAGGGTCTTATATTCAATTTTCCTCAAGAAGACACCCTAGGGCTTATTTTCAGGGCATGTGTTTTAAGTATGGTACAATAATCTACATTGATTCAAATATAGTGAAGTCGTCTTCTTCTGGAACATCATCATCACTCTCCAAACCCCGAATTCCACCCTGAATTTCTTGCCACTCTATTTCCTTTAGAACCACCGGCCCCGATCTCTCACGTGGAGCCACAGAGCTGTCACAGGGCAGAGGAGAAGGGCTGCTCGTGTTCTTTCCCGCTCCGGGATGACACGCTTGGGCTGTGCAGACACGCTGGTGGCCATGCCCATCACTAGGGCTCATTTTCAGGTTGAGGCTTCTATTGCACAAATGCTTAGACATCTGCTAGGGCTTATTTTATGGGTAGGCCTTATTTTTGGGGAAACACAGTAGCAAAGTGCTGATATGGGGTGTTGGGGTCACCCGTGAATGATCCACAGCTTTTAGCCACTCCCCGTTTTCTTCGCTGTGCAGCAAAGAGTGTTTAGACCTCGAGGCATGCAGAGGTCATTCACTCAGGGCGGGGACTTGGGGACCCAGGTCACCTACCTTGAAGTAAAGAGGAGTGTTGCTCTGGGGCTGTCTCCAAATGATGAACGTGATGCCCACAATGAGCGCCAGCAGCAACACGGTCACGGCCGCACACGCCGGGTCTCCGGAGAACAGCAGTGCGGGCCACTGGGCCAGGATGAGGCTCAGGATCGTCAGCAGGAAAACTGAAAACAGGTCCCGTGGAGGGAGAACAGGTCCAACTCCAGAAATTAAATAAGACTTCGGGCCACCCTGAAAACTGCCCATTTCGATGGGATCCACTATATCTTCAAGACTCCTGCTCAGGCTGGGCGCAGGGGCTCACGCCTGTAATCCTAGCACTCTGGGAGGCCGAGGCGGGAGGACTGCTCAAGGTCAGGAGTTCAAGACCAACCTGAGCAAGAGCGAGACCCCATCCCTACTAAAAATATAGAAAGAAATTGGCTGGACAACTAAAAATATATAGAAAAAATTAGCCGGGCATAGTGGCGCATGCCTGTAGTCCCAGCTACCCGGGAGGCTGAGGCAGGAGGATTGCTTGAGCCAGGAGTTTGAGGTTGCTGTGAGCTAGGCTGACGCCACGGCACCCTAGCCCAGGCAACAGAGTGAGACTCTCTCAAAAAAAAGAAAAGGAAAAAGACTCCTGCTCAGCTGCCGCAGACACTCGCCCAGCCCGTGCCGTTACTGTCACACGATCCCAAATGCCACGCTCACCGAGCAGCAAGGCACAGCCGTACACGGTGCGGCCTGATCTCGGGGTGGGACGGGAGTCGACAGGGTGACACAGACTCCTGAGAGTCGCCGCGGGTCCTGCCACAGGAACAGGTTCCGGCGACCTTGCTTCAGGCACAGGCTTCATCTCAAGTTCCCCCTCCGCTGCCTCATTCTTGCGGGGATTCTGGTCTGGCTGGTACCTGAATCAGAGACGCGGGGACAATAGTAACCCCGCCCCTCCTCATCTCCGTCAGACACCTGACACACCTGTGGCAGCGCGCCCTTAGCCATGGTTTCGCTCTCCATGGTTTCAGTTACCCGCGTCCACCGCGCCCTAGAAATATTCAATGGAATATTCCAGAAATGAACATATGTACCACTCTGAGCAGCATGATGGGCCGCATGCCATGCCCCGCTCCACCCGCCCAGGACGTGAATCGTCCCTTTGTCCAGCATGCTCCTACCGTGCGTGCTCCCCTGCCGTTATGACAGTCACTCAGCAGGCCTCAGGTTACCAGGTGGGAACAAAACAGTACATGGAGGGTCTGGCACGACCCGTGGGTTCCGACATTCCGTGGGGATCTTAGAACACGTCCCTATGTATAAGGGGGACTCTGTGCCCCCTCCCCCGAGTGTAGAAGGACACTTAGGGGCCGGGACAAAGGCAGAAGAGGACTGTCACCTCTTCCACCCTCGTGCGCCCACGACCCCTGCCAAGGTGCAATGGAGTCTCACCTGAGGACAAGAACGCAGAAGGACACCAAGGAGTAAGTGAGCAGGGTCCCGATTGATGTGAGGTCCACGAGATCACTGAGCTCAAAGAGGAATGCCATGAATGCTACAAGCAGGTCACAGAAAAGGATGAGTTAGTCCCAGCGTTCTGCGGCACCACAGCGTGACTATAATAACTTGTATATTTTCAAATAGCTCAAGAATGGGTTTTCAGGATTCCTAACACAAAGAAAATATAAATTTTTTGTTTTTGTTTCTCTTGAGACAGAGTCTCACTCTGTTGCCCAGGCTACATGCTGTGGCGTCAGCCTAGCTCACAGCAACCTCAAACTCCTGGGCTCAAGCGATCCTCCCGCCTCAGCCTCCCGAGTAGCTGGGACTACAGGCATGCACCACCATGCCTGGCTGATTTTTGCTATATATTTTTAGTTGGCCAATTAATACGCCTGTAATCCTAGCACTCTGGGAAGCCCAGGCGGACAGATCGCTCAAGGTCAGGAGTTTGAGACCAGCCTGAGCAAGAGCGAGAACCCGTGTCTACTAAAAATAGGAACAAATTAATTGGCCAACTAAAAATATATAGCAAAAATCAGCCAGGCATGGTGGTGCATGCCTGTAGTCCCAGCTACTCGGGAGGCTGAGGC